TTTTAATTTTCTTTCGAATTTTTCAAAGTTTTCAAAAAATTTTTCCCACGAGAAGCATGTGAGCCTCGGTGAATGCCTCACACCGTCTCTGCCGGAGTGGACGTGGACGATATAAGGAAGTCAACTGGAAATTAATATACATTCTGTTTTTCTCAACAGCCTGAAGATACATTGCAGAGTTTGAAGTGACACTGATCCACTCTCCCCTTTTCAACAACAGTCGAAAGGGGGAGGTTTTCAGTTCTATAGGTCGTTGGTTCACTTGGCAAACGTCCCTGAAATAGGGTGTAACACCATCTTACAAAAAAAAAACAGCAATGTACAATTAGAAACAAAAACATTTACTTCCTTAAGACAAATTGTATTACATATACGTTACACGGCGTCATTGATTATCGTACTATTCACATTTATTCGATCAAATCCTCTAAATCATGGCTGAACAACGGAGAGAGGATATGGAATTTAAAAAATCTCTAAAGCTTTGCATGAAATGTAGAGCCTAGTCACCTCAAGGTCAATTTCACTGCATAAATATGAAAAATTTCTCCGAGATTGGACCAGCCATTCTCCACTTACATGTTACTAATATTTCCATACAAAAACACAATTATATTTCACTTTGCATACAGATTTTGGAAATGGAATTTAAGAATTTTTGGGGGCGCGTGTAAAAACTTCGTACCATTCTACGCAATCGGTTACGCTGTATTAGACACAGATTACAAGACCGCGGAGAAGGTAATGTAAATTCTGAGTTCCCGGGACAACAGAGTAGCTGTGCCGGAAAAAAAAAAATTGTCTTGGCCATCACGTTCACCGGACTTCACACCATTTGGCTCACTGTTACGGGAATTTATCGAAGAATAAATTTTTACAGTAACCGTATTCAACAAATCTAATGAGCTACGTAAAATGTGCGATTGATTACACTGCCTACATTACAACTCATTAGAGAAGCAAAATATTTTCACACGCTTTTGAATTCGTAAAAATACAAATCTCTCTCTCTGTATTAACGAACTCGACATAGTTACTGCTCTACTTCAAGTTTCAAACACGAGGCAAAATTATACAGGGTGTCCCAAAAATATTTATAAACAGCAGTAACTTTAGTGGTTATTTAACATCTACAGCGTATTAGCTAATTCACTAAGTTTCAATGCTAACGTATTTAATGGTTTAATTTATTAAACTGTCTCTAATTAATTCACTAAATGCGTATACACGTCTTTCGGAGACCTGTATATATACAAGTTTAATCTGAACCTAACATCGGCACAACTTTCCAAACACATCAATACAAATATTATTTCTAAACACAATCAAATATAAAACTTGTTTACGAAGATGGCTTCTTCTGGATTGTTGCACCGTGTAGTCTGGTAGATACTGATGACGTTTCTACTTCATCAGGGCGATATCCTCTGAAACGTCGATCAGTATCCACGGTGCAACAACCCAGAAGACAGCCATCTTCATATTCGTCGCCAGTGAAAACCTGAAATCTCACAAAACTTATATACGTTTGCCTTTGTTATGGTGAGCAAATTGATACCTGAGTGAAATTCTCTCTTAATGTCTCGCCTTGTTACAATGTACAAACTGTAGCAACGTGCAGAGTGTCCCACTTAACGTGGAACCCACCACGACAGCAAGCCACGTCAGTAGCGACTGAAATACCGAGAAATGAGTGAGTCATAACGCAGAACACATTCGTCGCGTGCTGGTAGATGGGTTCCGAGTAACGTGGGACACTCTGTATATAATGTCATAACAAACGTTTTATCGAAACACCATTATATCTAAACACTTTTCCGTACGATACTCGGGTTACGGAGTGTATGAGTCTCTTCGTCGATGAGTGATTTGACAACAGCTGATCGACCACGAGGTACTTTATGGAATAAGTCCTCACACTTCATTCCTCGTGGAATCCTTTCACTGTTGAGCAGACTTCGCACGGCACATGAAAATGACCAACCCCTACATCGGCCGATTACAAGTATAATAAATCGTGCAAAGAACGATGTTGTTTTGGGTTAGGCCATGTGCACGTGCCGCTAGATACACTGAGGGTGGAGACAATATATTTATCTGAAACGTCGAACACTATCTACGAGCCTCCACGCCACAACCCAGAAGAAGGAAAAAAACATTCTCACCGCCATGAAAACTACAGATTTGACTGAAATTTGTTCTTAAATTAATTTCTGAAGATGAAAATGACGACTAATACAATTATTATTTTCAAAGTTAAAAATCAAAAAGTAAAAGGATATTTCACAAGAGAGAAAACTAAAAACCAGTTAATGTGTTATGCGAGGTCAGAGGCTGACCTATCCAGACCTCGGCTTGTACGTAACAACACATTTTCACACGTAGTCACACTGAACATCACGACACAAACACTCTTAAATTCTTCTCAGAGTTATATTAACATATTCTGTAACACTTCAAAACGAAATCTGACATAATCCTTCCTTATCTTTACAGTCTAAATTTAATTACATTATTATTATTATTAAACATATTGGCACTTACAACATTATGTATACATTTCCCCAGAAGATATTCGATTTTCTTTTATATATAAACGTATTTAATACAATTACATATACACAGACCCTGTAATTTCACAGTGACCTTGAAAATGGTCGACGATTTATAAGTTTTCGTATCGGGGAACGAAGTCACAGAGACTTCACGACCGCCTGACCTTTACCTTCTTCTCGGGACACATCTACAGCGTTCTCCGAGTATCAGGTGGGCCCCGTAGCAGCTGGTGCAACGAAGGGGGTCCACTTCAAGTAGGCGGGGTCAATCGCTTTATACAAGGACCCCCTCTTTTTCATGCGCTCTACATATTCATCGATAACATCCTGAAAGATAAAGCCAAAATGACTGACTGACTGTGACCAATGTTGCTTTATAGTCAATCATCTCAGACGAGTGTCCATGGACAAAGTGGGGTCATTGCATATGCAACCCGTGAGACGTAAAGCAAGGCCACGTTCCCCTATTCTAAATCTAAAGCTGTATACACACATAATCAAAAATATTACTCTGTAAGGCCCAAAATCACATAATAACCATTCTGCATTCTATTGAAAACTCAGAGACGTGCAACTCTTAAGACTATTTCTTCCTGCGTTTTTATTTTTGGTTATTGAAAAATTGTCAGTGGAACGACGGTTCCGGAGAATTTGACGTAAATACGTCTATACGGAAAGGAAGTTTATATATTGGCTTTATTGTAAATATTTCCTTTATACATGCTTTACATTTGAGATAAGTTTGATTAAGACTTTGCTTATTTAACTTGAATTAGTTACGCTTAAGATGGGTCTGTGGTAGCTGAATGTAATGTAATGTAATGTTTTATAGGTAACAACAATTCCGAGTAAACACGACGTTCCCTAGGTAACCAGGTTACACTTTCTTGCCGAATGACCCTTCCTTATAGACGTATTTACGTCCAAAAAAGCTAAAAAATTGTCTGTTGTGTTATAACTTTTTTAATTCCAATTTGGACTCCATTCTCTGACTGATGGCTAAACTTTACACGGCACACCAAACGTTACACTTATAATTTTGGCAGAAGGAACAGGTATTTTAACCATTACTCCTTCTTTCGTACTATTTCCCCATTGTTTCTACCCAATTTCCACTTTTTACTTCAGTGAATAGAGACAATTATCCTCCCGCTCCTCTGCACGCATCCATAAAATCTTTAACATCGCTGACCTACGATAAAATTCAGTGAAACGTAAAATAGCAATACAAAAATTACGATATTCACTGCCGTGTGCTAATGTGGCTCTGTGTCGGGTAATGGAAACGTTAGATTCATAAACTACTGTTATTATTTAGTTTCCCAAATACAGGGTGTTCATAAACGAATTGAAGAAAAAAAAACCCGCCAACAGCTGCCCTTGTGTGATGGCATACTAAAATAAAATTCAACAGATCACAGAACACCAAACGACGTATTATCTTGCCTAAATGTTCATGTGTGTACGTCTAATTTTTTTTTATTAGAATCTAAAGTTTTGACGGTGGCGAAAAAACTTCCACCGTGATCACGTGCGCTGTGATTACACGTGATCCTGTAGGTGGTTGTTGAAGTTACAGATTAATTTCACCCTGAAGACTCCAGCGGTAAATCCCTCCGAAACTTCGATAACCACCTACAAGTCCACACGCTGACACAACTAAAAATATCAGGATAAACAAGTTAAAATTATTTTTCAACTTTTATATACCCTGATGAGACTGAGGAAAACCAAGAAAGAACCGAACCGGTTGCTTTTTTCGGCACTTCGCATCTCCAGTGATCTCAATGCCATTAAGAACACGTGCGAGGAACTTAAGAATGGACCGACAGAAAACTTAGAAACAAAGGAAGTAAGATACAAAAACTCACGAAGAAATCAATTTATTCGCATTGCAAAACCACGTGAAGGGAAGCAAGTTCCTTACCTGTTTCTTTAGTATGATGTGTTTCCCCTTCCAGTATTTCATCATGCCCAGTGCCTGCAGAGTGCTCACAATGTCGTAAGAGTTGATTGCCATCTCCTGACTGATATCTGCCAAGCACACACCAACAAAAAAAAAAACACTCCATATTACTCTCCGTTCAATATTTCCAGAAACTTTCGTCTGTTGACAACATTTAACAGCGCAGAAATCTGAGGAGGCGAAGAGACGAAGTCGATCACACGTTACGACGAGAGATAAAGCTAATTTAATGTCCCTTATGAAGAGTCAAGAACTCTAGGAAACAGTGAACAGAAAGAATTAACATTTCAAGGTCACACTCGTAGAGATGTAACTGGGGAAAAAAAACCAGAAAGTTTCGGGTTCAGATCTGGCGTGTGCACGAAAACACTGCCTAATTTAAATACAAGCAGTCACGTGAAGAATTTATTACGGGGCCAGCCACTGGACACGATCATGAACCAGTTACATCCTGTTCTAATCGACCAACTTCCAAAAAAAGTAATCTCAATCAAAAATTCTGTATTCATTTCTAATTTCCCACTCCGAGCTACATTCTTATCTATCGCAAGACTGTTAATTTAAGTGCCTTAAGAATATCAGGTGATGTATAAGAATCAAAAAGTCACCGCCACCGATCCGACGCTCCTACGTTGTCTTAAAGTTTATTTCATTTACAGTCAAAAATCACAACAAAAATGTTCTTCCTCTGTTTAAGAAAATATACCCGCAATTCGTTTACAATTCCCGGGCCAAACAAACTGAGAAATGAACAAAAACATCACGAAAACAAACGTGATCCATACATGACCGCAGATGACAGGAAAAATATTGAAATCGATGTTTGAGGGTCACGGTTTGGAAGGGCGGATTCGATTAAGCGGTCTTTGCGAACCCCGTGACATCGAACGTCGCGGTCGGAATGTTAACATTCCAGTGTCATCTATACGGAAAGCGCCAAGCTCAAATCACGATGTGGTAGACTCCGGGTCTTCAGCTCTCAAGATGGAGACAGTATGTTCTTCCGAAACGTTGGTATCTATCCATGAGTCTACACTGTGCTACAACCCAGAACATCAAATCTCATATTTTCGTTAATCATCCGCGTCTGTATGCAATGCACATCCATCGCTACAAAGATTATCTCTGCTCCTATCATCAGAGATAATTCGTCGGAACAATGACACGATGATTCCTGGGGTGTATAACGCATAGATTTTTATCTATGCCCCGTCTATACTCATTCACAAAAAAGGTGCAAAAGCTTAAAGTGACAATTTATAGACATCTAATCCATTTTTCATTAACCGACTTTTAATCGAAACACCCTGTAGAATGTAAATAAGCTAAGTTTCCTATCTTACCTTTGACAGAGAGCTCCTTGCCGCCAAAGTTGCAGAGGTACTCCAAGAGGACATCCTTCCAGTAACTTCGATACGATATGAGCCCCAGGTCAGAGAGGGGTTTCTCCGGTGATCCAACTTTACCTTCGACCCGCGTTAAGAGGTAACCTGCCGGCAAACGATTAACAGGCTAACAGAACAAGCTGTTAATTCTGCGGAGACAAGGAACAGATATGAAGCCACACTGACCAAGACTGAGTGCCTGGAGAGAATTTATGGAATTAGGGACTGAGGTTCGATGCCTGGCAGAGACGCGGATTCTTCTACTCGCCAAACTGGACAACAGATTCCATTACTGACCAAACTGACGAAGATGTTAAGAGACAAAAGAATTACGTGTTCCAGAGTAAACTGACGTAAGTCCAAACATTACAACCGAAATAATACATGGACGCCGTCGCCAAGTGAGTATCATTTCTGATTCGTAATCGGGAGGTTAGCCACGGTGATCTAGCGGTTAGAACGCTGGCCTTGTAATCCTGGGGTCTCGGGTTCGAATTTATAACTTGTGTTGGGCAAGGCCGTGGTCTAGGCAACACGGAGTTTTCCTCCGTGGCATCCCAACAATTACTCCAATCACACACAGAAGAAGGCAATGGCAAACCACTTCGGGATCATCTGCCAAGAACGTATAGGAACAGGTCCCAGTCCGAGAAAAGATGGAAGGATCCTGTTCATATGGACCTATCGTCAGACAGAACACTAAATAAATAAAATAATAAAATCGGGAGGTCCCGAGTTAAAAATCTCGGCCTGAAAACAGAATCGCCTATTTCGTGGTCTTCCTCAGTCCCCAGACCCCTACCACAGCCTTTTTGAATTCGTTGTTCACGAAACATCCGACGTGTTTACCTGAGCAGCTGACAGCGTCGTTGAATAAACAATCCAATGTTCACGGGGAGTTACTTTACCCGAGACCGAGGGACCGAGGGATCTGACGAAGTGTGAAGTTGATCTGTCAGGTAGCAGCTTCCCTTTTCTTCCTTCGAGGTAGACGCCATTGGGGAGGAGCTGTAAGTCGCGGGACGGAATAGAATACGGCGTGACGTAACAAGAGGATGACTGTCAACTGTCAGAGAAGCCAGCGCCAATGCGATATGACGTCAGTCAGGGAAAGCGGAAATGACGCAAAGATTAAGAACAACGGAGATCTAGGAGGAGAAATGCACTTGGGCACGGAAGAATCACACGAAATACAAATAAAATGTAATTTGCTTGTGGTTTATTTAAAGACAGTTACAGTACCCGAGGTAATGTTAAGATGGTTAATAATGAACGTGGAAGGAAGTGGGCGTGACCAACTTTAAGATGCTACCACGTCAGTTTTATATAGGGACTGAGGAAAACCACGAAATAGTACGGGAAGTTGGGGTCAGGGCCGAGACGTGAGCCCGGGAACTCCCGATTACGAGGCAGGTTTTTTTTTCTAACCGCTCAGTGACGACGTTCAGTGGAAAGCGCCCATTAATTTTGGGGAAAAAAAAATGAGTAGAAGAGAGAATGAAATAAAGAGAAAGGAATAAGGAAACAGGAAGGGGGCCTTGCCCCTGTATCGCCACCACCTGATCTACCTGCGTGTCTCGACGGGTAATCGACCTGCCTCGGTATTCTCATCTTCCGCTATTGGTTTCGCTTATGCACGGCTTTGTCCACGTGTCACGGACGGACGGACGGACGGACGGACGGACATCTGCGTCCGGCTTTAAGATTTGTCACTGCCAGGTTTCCCCACTTTATCATGTCAAAGTAGGAATCCTGCATTTGTTTAAACTTCTTCGAGATCTGATAGTGGACAGATGAATTCTTGCATTTCACAGCAGCATTTAAAACGACCTCAGTCCTTAGGCGTGCAACACACAAGTGTGTACTACCATCCCTTAATAGTGAAGATTAATATATTTCTACCCTGAAGATGGAAGCATCATATTACTCCGAAACATCAGCAACCACCTACAAGACTACACGGGTTCACAGCCTAGAAGGCCGTAACGCGAACTCTTAGTGCATTAAAAACCTCAAGTTTCCCGCATATAAAATATACGCCAACAGGACTTAGGAACAGTTAATGAAACCTAACAGTGCACCGTCTCGAACACCAGACTCTGAGGTGAATGGTCACTTTGACGCTCTTTGATCTCTCTGTATAATTTTGAAGAGGGGTCTGGCTGGGCCCCAGTTTCGCCCTGGACGCAGTTGCGAGGACAAAAATTCCATCCCCTATACGAAATCGAATCCAGGTGAGGTCATTCAGCCCCCAACATCTCAAAATCTCATCACGGAAACGGAGTTCTTTTTGGATGTTCCACTGCGTAGCCAGGTAGAAATCAGAGGTATTTTCTGTCATCAACATCACGGCGATGAGTCCTGATGATGGAGGCAGCAGGGACCTCCGATACGATGTTCAGTCTCTACCATACTACACGGAGCAAAACCCAGAAGGCATTCATCGTATAAGTCGTCGTCACAAATCTCCCGCGGTTGAAGACAATTCGTCAAAGATGCATCAGGGCAATCCGGCTGGTACTGCAGAAGACGAAAGTGATACGTAGTGAAAAGTCTTTGCGATCTGGCGACCTTGGTGATTAAGGTCGGTACCTGCAGCGACACTGGAGGCAACGACCAGCCTCAAAATGCTTGCACCACTACAGCCAAGCCTGGCGCAATCCACCTCACACATGCTGACGACGTAGCTCTGTCCTGACGTCGTGTATACCCGGCGACATTACCCAGAAGAACATCATCTTCAACCGCATCATAAATGTGACGATGATTCCTCTAAAACGTCGGTCAATATCTACCAAACTAAGTAGTAACAGTGATATTCAACCATTAAAAGTCATAGTTCATAAATTATAATTTTAAAATTTAAAAAAAAATCATTATTTAAACTATTTTATGGACACTGGACTGCGGCAAATTCGCAAAACTTTTTTCGGAGAAGTGAGGTACTTCTTAGGAAATTCCACATCGTCTATGGACATCAGAACCCGTACACGAAAGCCCCACCATTTGGAGGTTGCCCTTCGTCGCGTAACATAGACCGTCACAAGTCATACCATCAGCCATCAAAAAACAATGATCAAAACCACGTCTTCACCTGAACACATCGCGAAAGTCGTCTATTGCCCTTTCCGGTGGTGGATTGCGCAATGTTACGCCACGCCATGACGCATGTGACGTCACGACCAACGATGCTTGAGTAAATTTATCAAGTTTCCTTTAAAGATATCGATTTTATTTTCAAAACAGTACACAAAACCTTTGCAAAGGATTTAATTCATCTGTTAGACGGGTAAAAAACATTTTGATCATTGCCAAGTTGGGATAATAAATAAAACAAGTTGTGAAATGCACGCATAGAGTTACAATTCGAATTCGCCTGAAAGTAAAGTTTGATTTTTAACCCAACCCAACCTAACCTAATCTAACCTAACCCAACCTATTCTAACCCAATCTAACCAAACCTAACCTAACCTAACCCAATCTAACCAAACCTAACATAATAACCTAACCCTAACCTAACCCAACCTAACCTAATCTAACCTAACCCAACCTAACCTAATCTAACCTAACCCAACCTAACCTAATCTAACCTAACCTAATCTAACCCAACCTAATCTAACCCAACCTAACCTAACCTAACGCAATCTAACCAAACCTAACCTAACCTAACCCAATCTAACCCAACCTAACCTAACTTAATCTAACCTAACCCAACCTAACCTAATCTAACCTAACCCAACCTAACAAAGATACACAGATTACCATCGGACCGCTAAAAATTACGTCTGCCTTCATGTAAAATAATAGTTATTACTGTCTGATTTCAATCAAAATTTGTATATGCACACAAAACTTACTAAAAACTTCTGAATATCAGAGTTAATGAATATGTGTTCGTCCGTTCTAGAGTTATTTAGAAGTACTGAGACAAACAGGGCTATATTTTAATAGCGAAACAAATCAAAGAATGAAACCAAATACAATTTATAAATCCCTACCAAATGCAGTTAGACCTTGCTCAATTTCCTATGTGTGCGAAGCTGAAGGCCTTAGAGCGATTCACTTATATCAACTGACTGTGTTCATTAGAAAAACACGGACGCGTCTGGCAACAGCACGCACCTTGAACCGAGAGGCCACGCCAACTAACTTAAAGCTCTGAGCCACTCCAATTCACCTGGTGTGACATGCTGTAGAAGGCGTGTGTTGAACTCATTTGAATATCAAAGCCGCATGACAGCGAGCCAATATGAGCAACTTCACGGTTTCCTCGGACACCACGTCACCTCTACCGACTGCAGACCACTCGAATCGACAAAAAACATCAAGCTGACCAGTGACCCCACAGTTCCGAGGTCACGAATACGCTCCTGTAGCATGCATTCATGGTAGGTGTTCAAAACGCTATGAATCTCCTGTAAATGTTCCCAAAATACAACGTTCGACGCCTTCAGGTCATAAAATCACAGTTCAGTAATATACACACTACATTAACTTTATTTCGTGAAAAATTCAAAGGCTATATACAGGGTGTGTCTATTACAGCGCCCAAGAAGTGTACTTAACTGGGCCAGTGAAGTCGAGTGCGGCGAATATGCGGAAGAGGATCCGACACTGGAGAGGGGATGTGCAGAGTATTGATCCCCGCTCTCTCTCTCTCTCTCACTCCACACTGGGCCAAGCCGTCGGCGCGCATTTACGTCGCGACTGTTGTAAGAGAACTGGCAGTGAACAGCCCCGGAGACATGCTCACACTCGCCCTAAGCGATTTATGGTTAAAAATCACCGAATTTCTACATAATTAGGCGAGGTTTCAGGTTCTCATGGCTGTATAACGATCGTCTGTCTCATCGCCCACATATGGAGGAGGGACCCACAAGACTACTTCTCCATTAACACTTACTAATGCCGCGAGAATTCAGGCGATGGAAACAATACTTGGAGGCCACCACAAAAACATTAGCCGTGAAGATGGCAACAACGTTTGCCGAAACGTTGGAATAATTCAACATTTTACACAGCTTATCTAGGAAAGTCGAGTCCAAGAGACTTCCAAATTACTGACCTGTTTTTTGGTTCCAGGAAAGGAAGATCGGTCATGGCTG